GACCAATCGATCTCGCTATGCCAAACAGGATACATCGACGAGCTTCTCATTCGCTTCGGCATGGCCGATTGCAAGCCTGTCACTACGCCATTGGCAACTGGAACAAAGCTCACACCTTGCAAGAATCACAAGCCCGAGGCCTTTCCTTATCGTGAGTTAACCGGAGCACTCATGTACCTGTCGGTTGGGACGAGGCCCGATATCACACACGCTGTGAGTTATCTGAGCCAGTTCAACTCATGCTATGGCAAGGATCACTGGACAGCTGCAAAGCGCGTTCTCCGTTATTTGAAGGGGACTTCGAAATTGAAACTCACGTACTCAAGAAGCGAAGAGGGACTCGTCGGATTCGCTGATGCAGATTGGGGATCGGACATCACCGATCGACGCTCCTACTCCGGCTACATGTTCTCTCTTTCCAACAGCGCAGTTTCTTGGTGCTCAAAGAAGCAGAAGTCGGTAGCTCTGTCCTCGACCGAGGCAGAGTACATGAGCCTGTCCGATGCGGCCAAGGAGGCCATTTTTCTTTCCAACCTTCTGAAGGAACTTGGTTTCGACGACTTGTCTCGGATTACAGTCTACAACGACAATCAATCCGCAGCAAAATTAGCGTCGAACCCAGTCTTCCATGCTCGATCCAAACACATCGACATAAGAGCGCACTTCATCCGCGAGGTGCTGAAGAACGGAAAGTTTGATTTGAAATATCTATCCACTGAAGAGATGACTGCCGATATTTTAACTAAAGCTTTGCCCAAGGCAAAAGTTGATTATTGTGTTAAAGGTTTAGGACTTTTATATTAAGAATAATTTCGATTACGGGAGCGTGTTAGATATACTTATTTTATACTCTCATCTAATGTTAATCTGTAATTATTCTGTATTTTTATTCTTTATTTGATTTTCGCGCTTACACCAGATGTCGCGCTCACCTTTCTTTGTATCCGGCCTCTCGGCCCTTTTTGTGTAACCGCTCACTCGCTCTTCTCGCGCCCACTCGAGAGCTCATATACTTTGTACGTCAATTGTGTTTAATTAATAAAAGTTATAATTAACAAGTGTTAGTCTCACTCTTAATTCTCACAATTTTTCCATGATTTCTGTTTCTCTTTAAAAAGTGGTGGGCTAAATATATGTCCCGTGTCCGAGGCGAATCAGATCTCAATCGCGCGTGATAATGAGTACGCATAGAAGAAGCTTCATGTTCAAGCGCTCAATTAATTACAATAAAAACACATGTGTCGCACACCATAAAACGAGATGTAAACTTTTGGAGTGCATTCACCGTTGAAAGTTTTTTTTTGCTGCTGAATATTTGTATTGTGTTCAATACAACACTCAAGTATGGGTATTATTTTAGAATAGAAGCTACTGCTCGATTGAACAAAAATTTTGGACTAAAATTTATAATTGTGAAATAAGAACGAACGTCCAAAAAGGACGTTCGAGAATCCAAGTCGAGAGAAGCGCGTGTCGAATCAATTGCCTCAGACGAAGACGATCGTGCTGCTGCGGCTACGTGGGAAAATTGATGAAACTGTTGCGAGACTCCCGAGGAAATACATGTATTTTTATAGGAAGTAAATGTCATTTATTGAAATAATCAGCTGTTGGTAATTAGTTTTAAATAAACTGTTGGAAACGGCTAGCAACCTTACCAACCAAGTTTTAGTTGCTCTCGCCACCACCTAAATGTGCTCATACTTGTCTCACTCGAAATGATCACGCGATGCCGCGAGTATGAATGGATAGTAACTGAGAAAAGCTATAAAACTATGGGGATCGGAAATGAAGAGCTAGACGAAAAAGTGTTATACATTATAAAAGTCTTAGAATATTTCAAAGAACATGTTTGAATTTTTTAAGATTTTTTTGGATAGTTTTTGGTATTTTCGATTTCTGACCATTTTCAAAAATCCAAAAATTTCCCCGGAAAATTCTGAAAAATTCAGAGGTCTTTTTTTGAACAATTCTAAGAACTTTTTCTAAGTAAAGTTTTTTTCCTAGATGCTTGGTTAGCATATAAAACAATTGACCAAATTTATACATGATTTTTTTTTTACAAAGCGCCATTTTGTTGTCCACCATGATGAATTTCAATATTGTAACTATTGGACTTTTATGTCTACACCCCATGGACACAAAAAATATGTGTTAGACCCACGGATCAAGTCTCTCTTGATTCGAAAATTTAGGTCGAATCAACATTTTTTTCAAAAAAATAGTGTTTTTTGTTGTTTAATTGTTCATTACTTTTGCTCCTCAACTTTTTTGACAATTCTGACACCGGATTCGAAAAGTTCATGAAATTTCACGTCAGCATAACTATTTAAAAATTTTTCAGATATTTTTTTCACAAAGTTTACAGCACCGGAAAAAATGTGGGAAATTTCGTCCGTTTGTCCCGAACCGGGTTAAAATAAAGAATCGAAAAATTCAAATTGGATTTCTGCAATAATAATGCACTTAGCAAAAAAATAAAATAGAACTTTTATAAATTTCAAAAAAGCTACACTTTTTATGATTTTCTTTATCCTATAGCTTTTTTTATTGCAAAATTCCTGTGTAATTGAAAAAACAGCCACTTTTTTCTTTTTTTAGAGCTATTGGATAAGCAAATTTATCGATTTTCAAAGTTAAATGTACACTGAAAATATAATTCCAATATTTTCTATTTTCATTCAAACGAATGGTTTATATTAGAAAAAATGAATCATTCATCACTAGTTTGTTTAGGGGGAGCAGATATATTTTGCCCACTGCAACATGGATTTGTCGATATTGGGAAATAAATGATACCGCAGCGCCTCTATGGTCCTAATGTATTTTCCTATACCAGCACTAAATTTTTCAAGCAAATTCACTCAATTAGCGGTACAAAAATACATAGCTAACGTTCTGTTGAGGCTGCAATTCGAACCGTTAGCCGCCGATCTATTCATGATGGATCATTGTAAACTGAATCTGCCGTGTACAGACTGCCGAATAATTGCGAAGCACCTGAGCGACGGGTGCTCAGCCGATTTGCTGCTGGATTCGCCCGGGAAATTGGTGGACGTGTTACGGAAGTGTGCCGCACAGAAAGAATACAGTGAGTTAGCGAGTATACAAATCAAACCGCGAGCGAGCTCAGATGATTCGTCGCTGTATTTAGCTGAAAAATTGCTGTCCCTGATATCCTCAAAAAGCGACGACGATGAGTTAGCGAGGATGTTATTCAAATGCAGCGGTGGCGAATCAGACACGAGCTCAGTCGACTCGACGCTGCTTTGCGTTTGGAAATTGGTGCGCGTCTGTCGCAAGAACAACGACGATGGAGACATCGCGAGGAAGATATTCAAAATCAGCGGCGGCATTCGGCTTGCTTTAAAGATGGGCCACAAAGGGAATGTCGAATTACTGTTGAGAAGAGGTGCCGGTTCGAATATAGCTGACAAGAACGGATTCACTCCTTTGCACACAATTTGCCAAAGAGACAACGACGACGAAGATGACGACTTGTTGAAGCTATTCCTCGAGATCAACGACGAATTGAATCAGCTGGTGGAGGTCAACGCCAAGGACAAGAAGGGCAACACACCATTGCACTTGTCTATATATCCAAAAGACATAAAGACTCGATCGAAGTGCTGCTGAGAAGAAGCGCCGATCCCAATTGCGTCAACGAGGAAAGATTTTCAGCTCTGCACATAATTTGTCAAACAAACTACAATGACAACTACTTGGAGGTATTCTTCAGAATCAACGACGAAATCCAGCAGACTGTGCAAGTCGATGTTAAAGACAAGTTTGGCCATACACAATTGCAATTAGCTGTGGCGAGTCTCTTTCCAGATACGGTCGATGTTCTCTTGGATCGTGGGTCGGATCTGTCCAGCTTCGTTTTTCTCACTGTGGAAGACTTAGAAGGGTCAATTGGCTCGATAAAGGACGAGGATGAACATGAACGGTTTGGGGTTAAATTAAAATCCACTTCGGACGCTGTTTCAATCGTCGAGAGACTCAAGCAAAAAGGATACGAACTGGGCCGTAGCGACGCCCTGCTGATCATGAAGTGGTTCACTGCGTACGAATTATTCGCCAAGTCGACGGATCTTGACAATTGTTGGTATGACGACGAGGAATTTGTGAGCAAGTCAAAGGACATAATGATAAAACTAGATCTATCTCTTTGCGAGCTGGTTCAGTTACGAACTGAAGAGGCAGCAAAATTACTCAAACACGAGGACTGGGACGAGTTAGTGCGTTCGAAAAAGCACTGATTAACAAATTTAAACAAGAACTTTATTTATAATGGTTTAAACGTTAGTGTTCCACAAATTGGTACACCGTTACATAATCGGTGCTTTTACCTTATCAGTGCACCATTGTAAAATTCATACATTTTTCTTTAATTTAGTGTAATTTACATACATTTTATGTGCCGCTAACTATTTTTAATTTGATTCGCGTAAGTATCCGCTTTATCGTGAACATACAATACAATCAGTATTATTGAAGTAAAGAAATTGCAATTAAAATTTTGCATTTGACGAAAGTAATATATTAGCATCCTTTATATGACCTCCTTCAGCAGACAGGTATTGGTAAATTTACCTTATATCGCTGTGTTGTTTCGTCAGCTTGAATCGGCTTGACCGCGTGAATCGTAAATTTTTCTAAGTAAGTATAATAAGTAAGTATAATACTCTAACTTAAAAATCGCTACTTTGCCACTACATTTAAATTCTTCAGCTGTGCTTTTTAATACCTCAATGTTATTTATTTACAGGAAGGCAAGGGGTATGGCGTTTAATCGGTACTCGTTACGAGCCGCAAAACGTCATACAATCAGTTCACAGTGGACGTGTTAACCGGAGTTACTGGGCTTCTTGCTCTGGGGACGGGCCTTTGGCAATTTGCGAAATAGCTCGGAACATGAGAGGACCCGATTATTGGATCATTTTAAATGATGTGCTGTATCCCGCCGCCATTCAACGTTATCCTCAACGCGAGTTGATCTACGTCATCGAAGATAATAGCGGAGTGCACAGATCTGGAACTGTAACAGAATGGTATACAAACCACTCCCGCTTGGTGCGATTACCCCATAGTAGTCGCTCTCCCGAATTAAATTTCATCGAGAATATGTGGTCCAAAATGACGGCGAAACACATCCCAGGTGAAGTACAAAATATTGAAGGCTTGCGAGAAAAAGTTATTGCCAGTTGGAACGAGCTATTCGACGATTTACCTTATTTTAAGAAACTCACTGACTCCATGCCTCGAAGACAAGCTCAAGTCATTGAAAAGAGAGGACACCACGTTAATTATTAATATTTTGGTTAAAATAATATCAATTTAAACTTAGAATTAAAGAATTGTTGATTTATTTTTTATTTGGATATTCATAAACAAATACATATAGCTTTACAACCAAACACATGTTTTGTCACATGTCACATGTCACTATGTTTTGTGCTTTTATATTGTCAAATGACAAATACGAATAAATAAATAAATATTGAAAATTTATAAAAATGTTATTATAAATCTTCATTAACAATAGAATTTATACATGATACATTATACTCCTTTCATCCTAGCGATCATTGAAGTTGGTCTTGATAGCCTCAACAATTAAATATTTCTTAAAGGTAGCCCATACGTGTGATCTTTTACAGTAAATGGACTATTTGATCTAATATCGTATAATAATACTTGACCAGTGACAGTTCCAGCTCCAACAGTTAAAGCTTCTTGACAATTGAGAGCTGTGTGTGTGGGTCTGTGTGTGGTACGGTATCAAGGCTGTAGATAAAATGAGCTTAGTCATTTATTGTTTATTAAAAATAGATAAAGGGTGAAATGAATTTTTATTCTTACTTTGTATTATTTTTGATGCAACCAAATCCACAATCGAGAGTCCCAACTTTAATTTTTTTACACTATGATCCCATGCTTCGACTTTTCCATCATTGGCACCCACCAACAATAATTGATGCTCTGGGTTAATGGCTACTTTGTTACAGCAATTACTATAGAAAAGAAATGGCTGCAAAAACTGTCCTCTTTAAAGGTTGAATCTATAAATTTCATTGCTAAAAGCAAAAGTAATAAAACATTAGGACATTAGTTATGCACACAAAAGAATAACTTAAAATTATCAATAAATGCATACCTAGTTCCAACCACAATTAAATTAGCAGAGGGATAATGAAAATTCAAGTCTCTTCCAAACTTGGGTATTCGCATTCTGTAGTATGTTGTATTTACCATGTGCAGCATGAAACTCAATGTGTTGTTGGTCTGTGTAGTAAAAATTAGATTTTTACTTTACATTTTTTGTAAAAATTTCTTCTTTGCTCACAGCCATATGACATGTAGATGTGCCACAAATTAAACCTTATATAAAAATTAAATAAATAATGACCTTGAAATAATGATGAAAATTATCTCAGTTACTTAAAATTAAATTCAAACTATACCTAATCTAGTTGTGAAATCAGAAGAGATATCATTTGCTGAGCAACCAAGCATACCTAAACCTCCTGCGTGGCCATCTATAATGGATGCACCAACTGGTATACCTTCTAAAAGATTCAATTCTTCAGCAGATTTTCTTGATAATCCATCACCATCAGGAGACCCTGGAGACTATTTGACTTATGAAATATATTGAGCTCAATATTTTATATGTAACATGTACTTATTTATTCAGATTTAAATGTACCTATTTTTCTGTAATTATCAGTTGCTAAATCTGATAATTCTATTTCTTCTAAATAGTCAAAACACCAATTATTAGTGATATTTGGTCCAGATCTATAGTTGCACTTACAAACCAAAGAGCATGATGGTCTACAATCAAGATATAAAAAGCAATAAATTTGAAACAACTTGCATAATTTATTGTTCAAAGCTGCATTATTAAACAATACCTTGATTCACAACCAGTAGCTTTCCAAGTTAAAACATGTCGCTGGCTCAAATACTGTGTAGTGATCTCCATAATTTTTACCGGCTAGTAAACCAGCTCCTCCCAAAAGTCCACAAACAACATTTGAAACAATAGACCCATACAAATTGGTTGTCAACATAACATCAAATTGATGTGGATTTGAAACTAATTGCATGCAAGTATTGTCAATAATCATATCACCAAGAGCATAATGTTGGCTTTGTGGATTGTGGTGACCTGAATAACAAGAATCATTCATAAAAAAATAACTTGCTTCTTATATATGAGTGATTCTGACTAACTTGTAAAATAACGCCTCAAAAAATTTTTGATGAAAAATTTAGCGGTACAGTATCCGGAATGAATTTTTCTTGAATATTATCAACAAAGAATCCCAAAAATAACTTTGGGCTTTATTTTCCTCCATAGTCCATTTGGGAAACCCGATTTAAATGTGGGTCAAAATAAAACTTCTTCAAATTTTCGAATGACACCGATCTAGATGCGCTTTTGATATGTTATAGTACATGGTAAAAAAATCCTAAAGCCAAAATTTTACTCCCCATCCCCCCTCCTACCCCCTCCACCCCTATAAACGTCCATTCTTTATTTATATTCATTCTGAAGCCCTGAAGTAATTTTATATTTAATTTTATATATAAATTCAAAAATGGGTTGTAAAACAATTTTTTAAATAAAAAAAGAAAGTGTATGAAAAAAAATTATTTGTTGAATAATTTATTTATTCATGATAAGAAAAAAATTTTTCATGAAAAAAAATATATTTATAAAAATTTTTCATGAAAAAAAAATTGTTTATAAAAATTGTTTATAAAATTTCCCATGAAAAAAATTTTTTTTATAAATTAATTAATTTATTCATAGTAGAAAAAAATTTCATGAAAAAAAAATTTTTTTCAAAAATTTTAAAGTGATTAACGCAGGATTATCGAATGTTCAATCCAGCTTACAATTCTTATTAAGTAAGGAACAGAGTTCTGGTTGGGCTCATTTTGTTCGTCTTTTCAAGCCCTTTTTAAACATGTATACAGATATAAAAAAAAACAATAGTCCATTGTAAAAAATGAAAATGTATAGAAAAAAGCTAAAAGTTCAAATAATCCAGTACGCGCGGAAAACATTCTGGGAAATTTCCAATTTAGAAGGATCAAGTTCAGGTCACAAATTTTTCTAAAGTATGTGAATAAAGGAAGGTAACATGATAATTTCAGATCATTTGGTTAATAGTCCATTTTTTAAGAATCTATCGAAAACTTATTTTATTCGCAGTACGTTTTTTGACTCAAGAGTAAAATCGATTTTCAAACATACGATACAAAAAGGACGTGCCACCAAAACGCTCAAAAATAAAAGTGTAGGTCTCTCAAGTCTTCTTAAAGACCCTGATAAAATTTCAGAACTGTGCATCGTAAATTACCTGACTTACACATCAGTACGTGCAATTTTAAAAGTTAGTCAGAAACACTCTGGTATGTACTTCCATAACATGTATATCAATATAGCATACTAAAGCAATCTTTCAATTCGTGCGATGAAGAACATTTCTCTTTTTAAACAAAACAGAAAATAATAAATCTTCTATGAGTAAGAGGAAAATATTGTCAGAAAATTGCTACAAAAAATGTATTTTGAATGATGTTATCGCTGCGCTTGAGTCCTAAATTACGCCGTGCCGTAAAGATATTACTTATAGCCTTTGCATCGTAAGTACTTTTTTATCACAGCGTGCGGGAAGTTTGATTTCCCGCACGCTCAGCCGTGCGGGAAGTACGTAATTCCCGAGCAGTACTGTAATAACGATACTTCTCGAAATTACATACTTCCCGCACGGCTGAGCGTGCGGGAAATAAAAACTTCCCGCAACTCGTGATAAAAAATAGTTTATGCAATAGTACGACGAAAAATGTCTTTTTTCGCACATTTTTTAGTGCGCAAAAAGCGTTTTTGGACACTTGTGAGCGGTAAAATGCCTCATTTTGGACACGGGTGTGCGGTAAAACGCCTCATTTAAATGAACGTATTTTTCGCCTACTATTGCATAAAATTTTGTATGCAACACGTGCCCAGCTTTTTGTGCACAGTGTGCGGAAAAAACACCCACTCGTGCCGGCATGGCCGGCACTCGTGTCTTTTTCCGCACACTCGTGCCCAAAAACGCCTTTTGGGCACTTGTTACATAAATAACTAATACGTCACTCGTGACGTAATGTACTATTTCTATACCAGTGGCCCGAAAGTGACTACTTCCCTGCCACATACGCAAAGCGGGAAGAGAGATTTTCTAGCCACTGGGTATGAAAATTAGCATAGAGACCTACGCTGCGAAAAAAGAAAGGCGCAGATCACGTGTTAATCGATTATACTACGATTAACTATACGATAATACGATTATGCGCTAATTATACGTACTTTGAGACCTTTCTGTTTTTTACGGCCTAGGGCAGAGGAGTTTCAATCTACTTCTGAGCTCTCTCGGAATACGCATCGAAAAACGTAGCGGCTAGGAGAGCTCCAGAAGAAATTAGAAACGCTGTCGAGTCCCGCCTAAATAAGTTTCAAGTCATCTGGACATCCTCTCGGGGCCTGGCTTCTAGATATATGTCTCAACGCCTTCATCCGGAATCGAACCAAGCAACGTCTAAGAAGGAAACTGATTTACCAACGACAAAATCATGCGTAAGGAACGTTGCGCTTGAAACGCTCCGCCTCAGTTTACGTGTACGGGTCATAACATTCTACCTTCTCCAGCATAACCAGAAGATTTCAAATTCTTTTATATAGACTGCCTTAACCGCATGGTAAGTAAAAATTAGTGCAAATAGTTTAAGTTTTTTTGCGCGTGAATATATTTATTAATCATAGGCCATATCAATCGGTAGTAAAATGCGATTATATGTAGTTAATAGTTGAAAGTGTATTGCAAATGAAATCGCGTACAATGTGAAAAAAACATTTATGTATAACCTCTCGCTCGTCGGTGACCAAAGATGTTAAAATCTGAGATTTAATATTTTCATATATACATTCATGATTGATGAAATTTTAGATTATGTTTATTACCTGATCTCTGTACTATAGCTTACAATCAATATGGCAAATTTAGCACAATATTCATGATTATCATTTCAGGTTATACAGCCACAATATGCAGATTTTTGTTAAAACTTTGACTGGTAAGACCATCACCTTGGAGGTTGAGGCCTCTGACACTATTGAAAATGTCAAGGCTAAAATCCAGGATAAAGAAGGAATCCCTCCAGATCAGCAAAGATTGATCTTTGCCGGTAAACAATTGGAAGATGGTCGTACCCTTCAAGATTACAATATCCAGAAAGGTAACTTTTATTTTTAAGCAATCCTATAGCTTTGATAATTTTACATTGAATAACTGGGAATTTTTTGTTGTAGAATCAACCCTTCATTTGGTTCTCCGTCTGAGAGGTGGTGTCATCGAACCAACCCTTAGACTGTTGGCACAGAAATACAACTGTGAAAAAATGATCTGCAGAAAGTGCTATGCAAGGCTCCACCCAAGAGCAACTAACTGTCGCAAGAAGAAGTGTGGACATACATCTAACTTGCGCCCCAAGAAGAAGTTGAAGTAGACGATTATAATCTGCATAGGCATTATTCTAATCATTGTTTAGAACAAGATATGATTGAAATAAAATGCTTATTTTTTCAAACAAAATAATTTGGCTTTTATTAATTTTTCTGGTGTTATTACATATATCAATCACATTTAACTGAACAACACAAAATTTATAAATGCTCAATTTTTTTATTCTTGTTTAATATTTCTCAATAAACCCTTAGTCTTATAAACCTCAATAAACCTTTAGCACATTTATGCATATTTAGCATTTGTGCACATTTTGAAATTAAAATTTATTCACATTTATTGATACACGGAAAAAAATTAATTTAAAAACTAAGAATATCATCATATAAAATAGAGAATTCAAAAACTGTTAAAATAATCGTGGAAGAATCGTGGTAGAAGAATTTAAAAATCGCCTTTAATAGTTCAAAAATAAAAATTGATCCACTAAGATTACATTTTAGTGGGCTGTCCGATTGTAGTCGACAGTCTGTTGGTCTGTGGCATGCGACAGTACACGTGCGGCGAACCTCCAGTTCACAACGCTGCAGAGTACAGCAGAACATTTTACGTTATTTGTGGTGGAAGTAACAATAACATCGGCTTATTACTAATTATGGCTTCGAGTGAATGTGATGTTACAGAAGATGGAGAGGCATTTGAAAGTTTTATCAAGGTAAATAACAAAAAGACAAAAAGCTCTGCATAAATTGATTGCATATTCAATAGATCTTTACCATGCTAACCTATAAAACACAAATTCTTTATTTTTCGGCTTTCTTGCTAAAAAATATCGTATGCAACTTTTGATGTCCAAAACGTCTTAAATTTATTTTCATTACAAAACTTGTCTCTGACTTGTTTTTATAAAAAAAACATATTGACACTGTAGTACAGTCACTAATTTTTCGAATACTTAATATTGTTTTTAACAAAAACAATTTTTTCCAAATTCGATGTTTTTTTATGTGTTTATCAATCAAAATTAAGGTAGCAATAATATAAATATAATAAATATGTATTCCAAGTTTGTTAGTTCTGTATTTAAATAGGATTTAACACGTTAAGCAAATATGATTTGATTTTTTGTTGTTAGGATTGTAAGAAGGATTTTGACATTATCTTATAAAGTGGTTTGACCACAAAAATTGCAGAATAAAATTACCAAAAATTATAAGAGATGTTTATTTTATTTATCTATTAATTAAACTTTATTCTTTGTATTGTTTTAGGATGCATATGCTGCTATTACTGGTGGGATTAAAGCCTCTAATAGTTTGCCATGTGACAAAAATTACAAATATTACAGTTGCTATCCAACATTTAATGAAATTTTAAGAAAACAAATTGGAACAATTTCTAAAAACATGCAAAATATTATCGAAAAAACTGAAATTGCTGGAAATATCATTCAAAGAGATGTCGAAGAAAGATTTGATTTAATTCAAGAAACAAATGATTTTCTGTTAGATAGAGCGGTAAGTCAATCAGAATATATTAAAATCAAAATATATTATCTACCTAAAAACTTGTTGCTTAATAAGTTATTTTGATTCAGGGTAGTCTTATGGATGAAGAGCAAGGTATAAATAGAAATCCTACATTCAAGTTCACAGCAAAAAAACCTACCAATAGTACGAATGGTAGTTGGAATCAATCTGTTGGTACCAGAAAGCAAACTTCAGAAGCTACTCCTATAAAAGAGGCTGTTCAACTTCTAACTACTGGTAATATTCAGAAGCCACAAATAAATTTTGAAGATAAAATTGATAATAGTCACAAACCATGGGAACCTAGAATAAAAGATAAACCCAATTCACTCAAGCCTTTAGCTTTACAAACAGAATGTGGAGAAGATGGTTTTGAATACTTTTGTCATCCATATGAATTTGAATTAGATAAATTTGAACCTTGCGAGAATCAACTACAGAAAGAAGAACCAGTCATGTATAAACCCTTGGAAAAAACTCCCTTAATCTTTGTTGATAAGACTGAAGTTCTTGAAACCATGTTATGTGATTTGAAAAAGTATAAGGAAATTGCTGTAGATTTAGAACATCACTCATATAGAACATTTCAAGGAATCACTTGTTTAATGCAAATTTCAACTCATGACAAAGATTATTTAATTGATACATTGAGTCTTAGATCAAAGCTACATGTATTAAATGAAGTTTTTACCAATCCAAAAATTCTCAAAGTATTTCATGGAGCTGATTCAGATATTTGCTGGTTACAAAAAGACTTATCGCTGTACATAGTTAATATGTTTGATACTTACCAAGCAGCCAAACAGCTGCAACTGCCGTTTTTAAGTTTATCTTATTTATTGAAAAAATTTTGTAAAGTTGATCCCAACAAACATTTTCAAATGGCTGATTGGCGGATAAGACCTTTGCCAGAAGAACTTCAAAAGTACGCTAGAGAAGATACACATTATTTACTGTATATTAAAGATGTTTTAAGAAATAATTTAATAGATGCAGCTAATGGTCAAAGTAATATTTTGAAAGTTGTATATCACAATAGTACATATACTTGTAAAAAAGTGTACACAAAACCAATTTGGACAGAAAATAGTTACATGAGCATGTTTAGAAAATTTAGGAGAAATTTGAATAACAGACAACTTTATGCATTAAAAGAAATTCACAAGTGGAGAGACGAAACTGCACGAGAAGAAGATGAAAGTTTACATTACGTTTTGCCAAATCATATGTTACTAAACATAGCAGAAGTATTACCAAGAGAAATGCAAGGTATTTTAGCTTGCTGTAATCCAATACCACCACTAGTACGGCAAAATTTACTCAAAATTCACAAGATGATTTTAAAAGCAAGAGATCAACCATTAGTAACACATATTTTAGAAGAAAACATCCAGCAAAGATCAGTGCAAAGCAATGATTTAATTTCGTCTGAATCGTGGAATGTTGCAACTCATGATGTACCTAGTGGAACTGAAGCTCAAGAAAATTTACCATGCTTGTTATCAGCAATTGAAACAGGAGAAAAGAATAGTAATTTCCATAAAGCAGAAGAAAAGTCAATTGTAACAGTATTCGAAGACTTTAAAATGAAGGTAATTTATTTACATAATTAATGTAATTGAGGGGAAAATTATTTATTTAACTTATATTTATATGAATATTTAAGTTCAATTGTAAAATGATTTTTGTTTTTCAGCATAAAAAAAGTTTAGGAATCTTTGTAAGTCCCTTCAGAAGATACAAATTGACAATTTCTATGATAGCTGAAGAAGCTAAAAAGAAAGTAATTTGTATTCAAGATATAAAAACAGAAAAAGAAGAAGAAGACTCTTCTACCCTTCAGGCTGCACAAGAAGTTCCTCAAAATTCAACTGTAAAATTACCTTTACAAACAAAAATAAAAGAAGAACCAGAAGAACCACAACAAGAAACATCTAAAAATGAACAAAGATTTGCAGGAAACTCCAAAGAAGTACTAACCATAGGACAAATGCATGGTAGAAAACGTAAGCGCCAATTGTGTACAGAAGACGAACAAGGCCATATATCATCTAAATCTAAATTGATTTAATGTAATTTATATTGTATGTGCTATAATGTAAATATTCTAACAAGTCCTATATGAATGTATTTATTTATTAGATCATCGTTCATCCAATCATAAAAAAACTTTAATTTTTGATTAAATTATGATGTTTACAATTGTTTAGGGAACAATATCATGAAAACTTAAAAAACCCTCTCATTAGGAGTTGAATGGTTTTTATTTTATTTTTATAAATGACCTAATTTTTATAGTTTGAAATCATAAATGTCGTTTTTAGATAAAATTGAAATAGAAATTTTATATCCAAAAATAAAGAAAGGTCTTCCAAAAGATATTTTGAATAACTTCTTATTCATTATTCACTGTTATATGTTGTTGAGGTCTTGTAAAGACTGACTCAAGGAAGGAATAAAAACTTTTTATATGCTAAATGGAAAAAATTGTCTTGCATAGCTTTTAATTAACTAATTATTAAACCCAGTATCATTACATTGAGATAGTAAAACCCATATCCCATAGCTGGAAAGCTGAATTTTACAATGGTTCCTTGTTTCAATCTTTTGTTTTTTTTTTCTTTCAATTTTGAAGCAGGTATTAATTAGTACAAATACATTTACATTAGGTTATAAAAATATGTTCAACTCATTACGTTTAATGGTTAGAAAAATTAATTTTAATATTTCAGTTAACTAAATGTCGAACTTCAATGACGAGCTAACGTTTCTCGAATACTCATGAATCACATAAAGTGCTTCGTATAATATATAGTCAAACGTGCCGTTAATAAAAGTACCTATTCGCACTTGAAGCTTGATCGGTTAAGCGCGTAATTAGTTAATTTAGACCTGCTGCTGTGGGCCGGTGGTAATACTTTATCGTTGAATTAACCGTAACTATTAGACTCTATTTAGATTCAGTAAGATCACAAAATAACACTCATTGAAAAACAGGAAGAAAAATTAGATGCAGGCTGCACTCACCTTCTTTTAGCGCAGTAACTTTTACTTAATAGTACTGTATAACACGAAATTCAAAGACATCGACGTTAGATGATCGACCGTTACTCTTCAAAACTAGATTAGAAGTACAAACTGATTAACAAATCAACAAGCTAAATTTGTTCAAAGCTTTATCTTCTCAAGTATATAAACTCATAATACAGGGATTACTCAATTGTTTATCAATACACACATCGATTCAGAATATTGTTGTTCTTACTTTTCCATTGACGGAGCATCAAATGGTAACATTATTTCGAGCTTGCTTTAACATTTTAAAATTTGAATTTTCTGTAAAATTCGATGAAAAACTCGCCAGCCAGCTACTTCGCAGAATTGACGAAACGGTTCAAGATACTTGACTCGAACTTTTTGTATTAACGGGCGTATTCAAAATGTTGAAATTCGAATGCATAAAACAGATCACCGTACTGATTTTGCTTCCTCATAGAGGAAGCTTTGTGATGGGCTCCATTTCGGCTTTTTTATAGAGTAATCGTAGGGTATATTTAATGATATTTCTATATACTAGATCGAATTTCTGACACATGTTGGTATGTATGTGTGTGTGTGTGTGTGTGTGTGTGTGTGTGTGTGTGTGTGTGTGTGTGTGTGTGTGTGTGTGTGTGTGTGTGTGTGTGTGTGTGTGTGTGTGTGTGTGTGTGTGTGTGTGTGTGTGTGTGTGTGTGTGTGTGTGTGTGTGTGTGTGTGTGTGTGTGTGTGTGTGTGTGTGTGTGTGTGTGTGTGTGTGTGTGTGTGTGTGTGTGTGTGTGTGTGTGTGTGTGTGTGTGTGTGTGTGTGTGTGTGTGTGTGTGTGTGTGTGTGTGTGTGTGTGTGTGTGTGTGTGTGTGTGTGTGTGTGTGTGTGTGTGTGTGTGTGTGTGTGTGTGTGTGTGTGTGTGTGTGTGTGTGTGTGTGTGTGTGTGTGTGTGTGTGTGTGTGTGTGTGTGTGTGTGTGTGTGTGTGTGTGTGTGTGTGTGTGTGTGTGTGTGTGTGTGTGTGTGTGTGTGTGTGTGTGTGTGTGTGTGTGTGTGTGTGTGTGTGTGTGTGTGTGTGTGTGCGGCTGTATGTCTGTGTAGAGTGATTCCTCGATAACGGTAGCACGTATCGTGACGGGGTTTGGCTTATTTTGTTCGTTATTATGTAAGGATGAAGCCAGAAAATTGTATTTAGCGATAAAGGAAGAAAAAAAAATTTTTTTTCGATTTTTAAAAATTTTTGGAAATTTTTTTATGTCTGTGTAGAGTGATTCCTCGATAACGGTAGCACGTATCGTGACGGGGGAGGGCTTTTTTTGTTCGTTATGATGTAAGGATGAAGCCAGAAAATTGTATTTAGCGATAAACGAAGAAAAAAAATTTTTTTTTCGATTTTTAAAAATTTTTTTTTACGGGAAAAATTTTTTTTGCGGGAAATTGTCGTTTTCTTCCTTTTGCTCCCTCATATAGGAAGTTTTGTGATGGGATACATTTAGGCTTTCGTATATAATTATCGTAGGATATATTTAATGATATTTCTATATACTAGATCGAATTTTTGACACATTTTGGAATGTATGTGGGTGTATGCGGCTGTATGGCTGTGTAGAGTGATTCCTTGATAACGGTAGCACGTATCGTGACGGGGGAGGGCTTATTTTTTTCGTTATGACATAGGGACGAAGCCAGAAAAATTCATTTATCGATAAACGTAACGTTTTTTTTTCTATTTAAGAAAAAAATTTTTTTTTTTTTGCATTGTTTGTTTGAGATACCCGATAAAGCTGAGAGGCGCTTTCGTTTCGCTTTCGTAATTAGAAAGATGATATTAATATTTTCAAATTATTTTTAAGTTAAAAAAAAAGTATGAGGAAGCTACTTGCCAATACATTGGCAGCGGTTTTTTCTATTATTATACAATTATTGCTGTATGCTATCTGATTTATAAAATGTGAATATGTCCGCATTTACACGCAATTCTTTCGAATAACATTAAAATTATTTCTTGGGTCTAAAACATTATTAGTTATTAATACATTTTAATAGTTTGCCACAGAGAATATTTTTTTATCAATCGTTTACTGCTTACAAGCCAATTTAAGAAAGAGTTAAAATTTTTCATCAAATTTCATTGGATCTCCCCCTCTTCTCCGTTTGCGAGCCTGAACCACTAATGCATATCCAACACGAAACTTTACAAAGGCATCTAACATCAGGATTGGCTCTTTTGAATAGAAAGTCAGTTGCAACTTGGAGAATGGAATTCGATATTGATCTCATCAATCGGGGACATATTCAATTTCAATTCTTATGTTGCACTACTCAAGTGTGCTGAGATACCTATGTGCATATCTAGAATTCGCTTGTACAGGCGAGTTGCTGCTAATCCGGAAATTTCAAAGATGAAAGTTGATACGAACATGCCGACTGATACTTTCGAGTTTTGACCCGCGGATACAGCAGAAAACTCGACTACGACCTACGACGGGTTACTGCAGTTCCGCATAGACAGTAGACTTGCATTGCACTGCTCACTTATCTTCGTTCGCTAGCAAATCTGACTTTTTGGCAGTCGAGTACGCACTATTCACATATACTGTTCGACAGTGAGGTAATATTTTTAATTTTTATCATAGGCGGCTAAAAAAAAATTGTCCTCCGGAAACACTCAAACTTAAGATGCAACATCGATTTGAATTTTTACGTTGTAGTATTTGAATTTTAAATAAAATTGAACATTTTTATTAGTTTTTACATGTTAGTGGAATCAAACGAGAATATCTGAAATAAGTATTAGCAGCATTTAGAATCGAAGGTATATTAAATCGAGGAGGGTCATAATTGAGTTTATCAAGTATTACATAATAACAATAACAAATTTGCAACCACTTTCACTAATTTCGTAACATAGTCTCCCGATGTTTTTTTTTGGTTATTGTGATCACCGCGAAAATTTTTGTACAGGTTCAAACGCGCCTTATATCGATCGAATCGTAGATTATGTAATTTCATTCTGAAAATGAGTTTTTGTTTAAGGGTAAAAAATCGTGAAATTCGCCGTCACCGATGGGACACAGCGAGGTGAAATCACACGTTGAAAACTACCCATTAGTGGACAAAATTATGAGTGTCAAGTCGAGGGTGCCTCGAAGAGGTTATAAAAATGCCGCGTTAAAAGTTCGCCGCTGCGGTTGCTCGCAGCCGACTTTACGTAAGATTATAATGTAAACATCCAGCGTTGGATCGCATTAAATATCTCAGTTCTGAATAAGTTCGATGAACAAAAAAAAAAAAAGAAAAAAAACGAGTTAACTCGTAGATGCAGTCGATACTCAATCTGTGATTTTCCTTTCTTCTTTTCCAATCGGCAGATCGCGTATACGCGAGTGGAAGCCAAGATTATTCATGAAAAAGCAGGAGAGCTCGAGGAGGCTGGCCAACGAGAAAAGTAGCAGCAGCCGGAGCAGGAGTAGAAGCAGCAGTGGCAGAAGCAGCGGCAGCAGCAACCGAAGCTGGGGCCAATCGAACGACGCCGAGGGCCCCGAGGCCTACGTAATTTATTGTATCGTCAATACGAGCTACTTCAGCAACAAAGGCAGCCTAGCCGAATCGGTAGGTCGCACATGCACAAATATTACGAAACGTCGGCGAGTCGCCGCACAAAAGCATACGTATACACGTTTTTATTAATGCAGCTCTAATCAAGTGCACATGTCATATACATAAACGAATACGTTTCTAGGTCGCCCGAGGATTTTTGGCATTGTACAACAAAGTGGACAAGAACCGAGTGAATGCTAGGGCCCTTGACGCTTGGGAGGAGACAGGGTAATTGTTTTTTGTTTTTTTTACTCTTAGTCTTCCCTTTTGTCGAGCCACGTACGTAATTTACTCGTGTGCATATCGATTATTAAAAGACGACTGTGTACTTGTTCTTTTCCCCCGCGCGCTCTCAGAGAGAGGCTCGTCGTGCTGAATGGCTTGAATCATCGTCATCTCAAGTACTTGGCCGAGGAGCTGAAATACGTGGCCGTCGACACACACTGCCTCAATAAAGCTTGGGGCAAGAGCCAGTTGACCTTGGTACTATCGACCATCGGCCGCGAGGAGGATCTCGAGGAGTACTTGGATGGCTTGAATTTCCTCAGATGAAATAAACATATTGGCTATTACACTTGCGTATGGATCTGAATTACTATATTCGTATAGCCGAGCTCGGTTATGTAGTCGTTTGGCGGCCGATCGGAATTGAGCCGCGGCGGCGACGCGACGTCCCACGGTTTAACAAGTCAGACAATGAAGAAAGTAATTGCGCCGGCTGAACGAGCTGAGCAATGAGAAAAGTCGTTGGTATCTCGTCGTCGGCTAATAATGCAGCCTAATAATACAAAGGGCCACCCACACATGTGCAGCTGTGAATCGTGTACGCGATGGGAAGCTGCGGCTGCGACGACACACACACACGCGTAGCACAGCTCTAATGATATCGATCGGACCGCGACGAGCTTTTTGGTCCCTATATTCGGCCGCGACGAGAAAGAGAAGAAAAACACGCGTACAGTGTGTTGGATATATGTATCCTTGTGTGCAGTGCACGAACTCGACGTATGTATGTGTGTGTGCGCGCCTAGCCCAGAGCAAAGATGTTCGGTACACATAGTAGTCGAGCTTTCGTATTTTATCTCTGTTCTCGTTTTTCCTCTCGCGCGCGCGAGCTGCTGCTCTTGCTTCGTCTCTCTCTCTCTCTCTCTCACTCTATATAATACCTACTTTCGGCAAAGTTCACTGTATATATCACTCGAGTAATGCTGCAGCGCGACCCACGACTCCATGTGTGAGTGTGTTTGTGTGTGGTACGTTTCTATACTCACGCGGAACAAGCAAAGGACACGATGTTGCGGCGAAAAAAAAGACGCGATGCAAGTGCATAATTTATTTGTTTTCCCTCGGCGCCTCTAGAGCTTTTAAAGCCTCTCTCTGTCTTGTACATAAATACAGATAAAATATGCCGTGTGCATCGCGGGCAACTCCGCACGATGCAGTCCGCAGCAGCGTAACGTATGTTTGAACAGAGTCCGACTGCGTGTGCGTGCGGGTCTCGACATCACTTTTTTCCTTCACTTTTTTTGCATAAACGTCGAGAGAGGAGGGAGGATAAAGTAACAAAATGTAAAACGAGATCAAGGATTTTCTGCGAAACCACTTGGCATTGTGGAATTAACGTTCGCGACAAAACGAGTGGATAAAAAGATGGGTAGGTATTCACGAGTGTAAAAGTCGTTTACTCGGCCACTGGAAATTCGCGTGAACTTAGCCGAGTCGTCGTAGGTCGCGTCGTCGAAATTTCGAGTGCGAACTATGCACCTGCAAATAAATGGCTTAGTGCCTGCATAACTGCGGCAATAATTAAATAGATCGTTGCCGAGTGTTGTTTCTGACGAGTCTTGCAGATATTTCTCTATACGCTGAAAGTTATGGATGACTTGGAAATATACCCTGAATTCGCTTATATCGCCGTCAATTGATTTTCAGTATATTTCTTGACAATTTTTATTTCGCTTTATCCGCCAAAGCCAAGAGAGCAAGAGAGGCGCATCAGCTCGACAAAACGTACTTCCGACCTCATAAAGATTGCATTCGAGCGTGTTTATTCAAGCGATCTGTCAACACGCGTCGACGCTCAATTGCCGATGAAATCGGCTGGATTAATTCGTGCACACATATATTTCGTTCGTTCGCCGACTGCTCATAAAAAAAAAAGAAGGTCAAGACACAACGTGTGACATTGGGATCTAGATCGCGTTGCATATTTTACTTCGCAACAATATATTATATATTTAACGATACAAAACGCAGTCGTCGTCGTCGTCGTCGTCGTCGTCGTAGTCCGCAGCGATTCGGCGAAATATTTTTTGCCCCCGCGAGCGCACGCTTAAATGCCACATAAATGCGTGTGCAGAGGCGCGCTAGGTGCCAAATTCATTATGCATAAACACGCGGCGTTGAAGTTTGCGAAACTATCCGCTCGGGGGGGCCAAAGTTTCGCTGCATAATGTATGTTTGTAGCGCGGAGCTTAATGAATGAACGAAGCCCGAGCAATTCTCAAATCGCTTCCTTTGAGAGTCTTTGCATTATGTACACTCGCCCCGTATACGCGTACACATGCACTGCGAATTTCCGCGCGTATACCGAGCGTAGCGATCCTTCAGTCGTATATAGATGCGACTATCCTCGAGATATTTCGCGCGGTCCGAGCTGCTCATTATAACGTCAGCCGTATAGATGTGTCGTATTGTTTGGCCCATAATGCGAATCGATCGATCGACGATTCTGTATTACGTATATGAGCTATATAGCTATCGAGTCGGCGGTGACGACGAATTATCGGAACGTCGCGTGCGTGTATCATCGGCATTCCGAGGGCCTATATCGATTCAGCAGCTTACATCGCGGAATGTCTAATCGGGAAATGCTCGATATTGAATTTCTGGCGCTGCGGAGAGAGGCTGCACCATAGAGCTGCGGCCGCGCGAACCTCGTGAATCGGACTTGAAAAAGCTCGCGAGGACGATTCTCTGCTCGAAGCTGATCCGCTCCTCGAAATGCAATGACGATAAAAATTAAAGGGCTCGTGGCATCGTCGTCGGGTCTCAGTGACTCGAACGAATCTCGCAGCTCGTACATACAGCCGACTGCAATTACGCGGTCTAGTAGCTCCGACAGCAGCAGCAGCAGCAGCTCGTTAGAGCCACGGGCAGAGGCGCTAAGCAGTACCTAGTATAGGTAGTCGGGGTAGACGCATGCCACACGCGTTATGCAGCGCTATATAGAGCTCTCGTCTATGGATTATGCGAGCTCGCGAGCGCGCGACAAGTGCAGCGTATGAAATGATGCCGCCACCGCCACCACCGCTACCACCGCCACCGCCAACGCCACGCCCGTAAACGTTAGCGACTTTGCGTACGCAAGCTGTGCAGTGCTGCAGATGTCGAAGCTTCCTATACTGGCCTGCCATGTGCTGCATGACTCGCTGACTCGCTGACTCGAGCGCAGCTTTTTCTTTTCTCGATTCCAGCCGCAGCAAGCTCGCCTGCGTATACAATACGATGAGTGCGGATTGGACGCGGTGAGAGCTCGATCATGACAAAACGTCGCGATGATCTCGTCGATTGCCCAATGGCTCGGGGAAATTGTGTCGAGTCGATGTACACCTATAGAGAGGATCGCTGGTGCAGGCCACAGCTGTGAGCTGCGCCGGCAGGTGGCTTGGCTGCTCCGCCGCTATATGTGCAGTAGCTGTTATATAGGTACGAGCTAGCTGCGGGGCCGAGCTCCAGGGGCTGTGCTGCGAGCTGGTCCACGTCGTGAAAGGCTCCGAGTCGTGTGCTATACCTATACACGTTGCAGGAACTTATTACTCGAGCGAAAAGTGCGCCACCGAAGTATGAATCAACTATTTCGCGGCTTTCGAGCCTTAAATTGGTGCGCAGCGAGTTATGAAAGTACAGAAATCAGACTGAACTTGTCCACGTAGCGAACCGAGTTCTATCGCGCCATGAAAATTTAGGAAATCAGATGAAACTTCTCAAATAATTTCCAACAATAATTTACGAGTGTAAACTGCAAACTCATAATCTACATCGATTTGATTGCTTCTAATTGTACGATTCATTTTCTGGGTAAAAATGAATGTTGAACATTTTATGCCTATTTTTTATAATTGAAATTTAATCGAAGAACAACTGCGAAACAACTTGTTTGATTTATAAAATTATACTAATATTCTTTGATTTATAAAATTATTTCAATTTTATCACTTGCACATTAACACATTAAGGGGCTCGCCATCTAGGGATTTAAGGTGTACCATCAAATTCAAAGCGAATGAAAACTGGTTTAAATTTTTAGAAACAATTTAATTATCATTTTCGGATTTATTAAGAGAAAAATAGCCCAAAACAATTCATTACTCTTAATGAATTTTAAAACAATTTTAATCATAATTTTTTCGATATCATAATTATTGAAAACTTTTATCATGATATGTATGAAAAAAAAGTATCATACGACTTAGACAATAAAATAATCATTTAGAAAATGTTGCACATATTTTTTCATTGTAGATAAATTAGAGATGTTACATTGAAATAAAGAGCAATACAATTAAGAGCTATTTAAAGCGTGTAACTGAATTAACACGATTCGATTGGCTTCAAAGGGACGCAAAGAGATGCGAGCTGTGAACGACGAGTTTGGAATTTGCCGATGTCAATGATTGCTGCATCTTATTGATGAGTCATGACTGGTTTCCAGTTAATTAGTAGTAAATCATTCGATCAAATTTGAAAGCTCGACGCGTTTCTTATAAAAGCTCAAAAATAAACGCTTTAGTGTCTCGCCCCAAACGATTGTTTTTCTGAAACTGTTGAGTTCCTCTTTTTATCGAATGCTCAGAAAAGAAGAAAATCTACATTGATTTATTTATAAGTATAGGTGCAATAATTGGCTTTTTCTCGTGGCGTAGCACGCCAGCGAGTAGCCGCTTCGCATAGCGTGGGACTTTCGATGAATGCGTATATATAGTTATAGAGGAGCTTGGAGTTGGCGCGTGTGATCGCGTGTGCAGCACACGAGAATCGGATCGCCCCCTGCGATGCAGCCCCCTGCCGTCCTCGCGTCTGTGAATCACACACGGCTGTGCATTGCAGCGGGTAGTAGTAGTTGTAGCAGCAGTAGCAGCAGTTTCAGTATACAGCATAGGCAGCCTATGCGCGAGGAATATATAGGGGATGACGAGCGGAGCCGTGGGTAGTAGTCGGTAGTAGCGAGTAGGAACATAGTAGTATCGTAGGCGTCGATGGCTTGGCGTAGCCGCTGCTGCAGAGACTGCAACTACTGCACGTAAAGGTGCACTGGGCCGCACAGGCAATAGCTCATAGTGCAACGTATACGGCAGGATAGGAGCTGTGCAGCTCGTGTTAGTAGTGCAAACCGTGCAGACTAGAAAACTGTCGAGAGTCGAGACTCGAGACTCGAGCCGAGCTGGGCGTCGGCGCAGATCGCGCGACTCGCGCAACTTAGCCGTTTCTGCCCGATAGTTCGGAGCAGTTCGGACTCGACTCGGCTGCACGCGAATTCAGTCGCGAGCCGTATAGTAGTGGCAGTTTTCCTACTGCTGCACTCGTTCGTAGTCGGTGTGCCGCTGCTGCAGCCGTCTCGTTCCCGCTCGCTGTACTCATTGTACTGCAACTCGGCATATATCGGAGTTGGCGCGGCGGCGATACCAACCGAGCCGCGCCAAGCGGACGCTGCAGGCAGCACTGCGCTCGCTGGCTCTAGCTCTCTGTATACAATATAGCTATAGCTGCTGTATAATGGCACGATAGCAGACTGGCGGAGCTGCGAGCGCGCGCCAGAGACAAGAGGGCGCATTATCGGCGTATTCGCGACTGCTACGAGCAAGAGAGATAGAGCGAAAGAGTCGGCCTAGTCTGCCAACCAGTAATACACAAAGTTTCTGCGTGCGCCAAGAGGTTATATAGGCAGGCTCTCTGTCAGGCTGCCTTTGCCGTGTGAGTGCGACTACGTGTGTGTCGTAAGCTCCACAGTGTGCATGTGTATACGTGTGCGTGTGTTGTAGCACTGTAGCTGTGAGCTGTAGCGTCAGCAGCAGTGCACACACCCACGTAGCTCCGATGTCGTCGCGACGACAACGTCGGGCCGCTGCTTCGATACAGAGCTTCGTCTCCTCGGGAGCACTGGCGGCAGTCGACCCGGGCGCCGTCTTAGTCTGAGTCCACGTAACTGGCTGCTATACCGTCGGTACATTTAGGCACAAGGAAGCAAAGTGCGCCCGTGGCCCCTAGGCCGTGCGTGTGCAGCAGAGCCGCCCCCCGTGGCATGGCATCGCCGCGCGCGTGACAGTGAGAGAGCGAGACAGAGCAAAACAAACGGCTGCGCCTGGTCGTCTGCAGCAGCAGCGTATATAGCAGCAGTGTCAGGTCTGCTGGCGATCGGTGACGTGCTCGTGCCTCGTAATAACTCCCTCTCGTCGTCCCCCGCCCGCTGTATAGCACGAGCTGCTGTCGAGTATTATATAGCTACAAAGTGTACTAATCGCCACTCGCACAGGCGCCCAGCAGCAGCAGCACATCTATTTCTAATTCTACACATTATACTATCCTTACGTACACATTGATATAGACGCGCGCGCGCGCGAGAACGGAGCAATGCCAAAGTTCGAATGAAAGAACGAGCAAAAAGCAGCAGCAGTAGCAGCAGGCGAGCTTGACGCGCGACCGAGCCACGACTCAGTGCCGGTATCTGTGCACTTGTAACTGCCAGTTGTGCTTCGAGTGTCGATTACACGTAACACTTACAGTGCTAATACATACTTTGGCCTTTCTCTCGCTCACAACAACACCCATGACAGGTCCAACGTCGTGCTCGCAACTTTGCGGAGCTTCGACCTAGCCGCCGAATTCGCAGCAGCCCAGTGCCTGTGTATCTGTGCTTACAGAGTGTCGTGCTTCGATTTAGTGAAAAAGAGTGCAACCAAGAGATACATCGGTCACTTTTTGTACAACGCGTATGTGTGCGGCTTCGCGTCCAGATAGATAGCACATCAACAAAAAACATCGCAGCGTATTAGCAGCTGCAATCTCGAGCAGTTGGATAATCCAGCCTCGCAGCCCGAGCAGTAGCAGCCAACAGAATCAGTAGCAGCATGGCGGACGACGAGGTGCTGTTCGACGACGTCTACGAGCTCGGCGAAATCATCGGCAAGTAAGTGTGCAAAAAGCAATCCCGCAAAGCAAATCCGAATATCCGATTCTCGCGACTCGGCAGCTTGTGCTGCTGCTGCTGCTGCTGTTGTATACATAAGCGCGACACACACACCCATGTATACACGGCGAGTATATAGCAGTGGCGGCGACTCCACCACCACCTCCAGCAGTAGCAGCACCACACCACCACCACCACCACCACTATAGCAGCACTACGAGCTGTGTATACATATGCAGCAGCAGCAGCAGCAGCAGCAGTATAAGCAGTAGCAGTGATCGGTCACGCAAACACGAGCAGCAGCGAGGTATCGCGTTCTGTGTACGTGCAGGCGAGCAACGCACTCGACTGCAGCACGCAAAGACTCCAGCCCCCCTGCCTATATACCATGCTTCTTTTTTGCTTTTGATCACGGGCACGAATTCGACGACTGCACACCCGCCCATTTTCGTCGTTACGGCGTCGATGAGGTCGAGCACACGATTTCCGTGCACCGCGACCGTCGTCAAATTGACTCCTGCATATGCAAAGCCCACAACTGCTATACATCTCGTAGCTCATGCGGCTGCTCGACGTCGGCTGCTAGCTTAGCTGTTTATATTATTATGCACTTATATGCTCTTGGAGCGGGCTAGACGGGCGCGATGAATTTCGCACTCGGTTCGTCGGTTGCACTTGACTCCTGTGCGTGTATATGTCTTGACATATTATACACCAACACATGTAGCTACTATATACGCGATATGCATCAGAAGCTTTTTCTCTCTTTTTTTCTCTCTCTCTCTCTCCCCCCGCAACTGTCGCGCGCACTCCGACTTTCTGACTCTCTTATGAATGAAAAGAGACGTCTACGCTTACATGCGCGTACCGTACACACATCCGCGGTACATATATACGTACTCGGAGATTCGCAGAGATGTGCACAATGACGACGTTACAAAGAATGTCTGGCCACGCTGACCGCAGCAGTGGCAGCAACTCATTGTATACATGTCTCTCTCTCTCTCTCTCTCTCTCTCTCTTTCCCTCGCGCACGCCGCGAGTTCCTCTTTTTGCATCTCTACATGCGAGAGAGAGAAAGAGTGACTATTGTCGACGAGTAGTACACGCGAGGCGGGGGCTCGTGTATACGTGCCGAGTACTCGTGATCGATGTGCTTTTGCAGTCGCGTGCGCGCGAGTCTGTTATGAGGGCAGCCTGTTTAATGCCATGGCGCTCTCTCTCTACTGTATGCTTCTCGGCAGCTGTACTCGCTTGGCTTCTGTTCAATTTTCTTCTTTTTTTCTTCATCTTCTCTCTCACCAGCAGCCCCCCAGTTATCTTACGTTCTGTCGTTATTATTTTATTATATCGCATCTACGCGAGAGGAATTCCGCGCTCGGCGCTACGGCTCGTGTTTATTATGCTCCGCGACGATCCGCAGCTGGGCCCCGAGAACACTCGTGCTTTTACCCGCAACCAGCCTGCCAACTATATAGCTAGGACACTCGTGCCCTGCGCTTTTATGCTAATACCGCGAGCTTACTGTAATATTATGTGCGCTTGCTGCGGCGGTGTATACATGTAGAGGTAGAGCTGCCGAGGATCGTTAGCGACTGCCGACGACTATTTTCACCCATTATCTTACGCGGACGAAAAATTGCCCCTTTTTTCTTTCTAAATGTCGTTTATATTCTCCACAAAAAACGATATGATTGTCGCTTACCTTATCTATTTGACGAATGTAAACGAACAGTTACCGGACGAGAAAACGATGTCGAATTTTATTAAAAAAAAAAAAAAAAAAAAGGAACAAAAAGGAATTCCAAATCAACCCCGTCATCGTACAATTGGAATGCTGCCAAACCCTAGGAATATCATTGGCCGAGGGAGGGCAGAAAACGGCAAAACTATTTTTCGCGCTGTCATTCATACACGGTTTTTAATGAGATTCTTCGATTACGACGAACGAAAAAAAGATGTGTAAACATTGTGTGACGTATTTCGTATTATGAACGATGCCAACGATAAATCTGCTGTTGATATGATAACTGGGCTGGTATTTGAAATGTGTACAAAACATGTTTACAAAAAAAACGAAACTTCAACGTTCATATATTTCATCCTTAAAACTATAATACAAGTGCTGTAATTTTAAAATAAACTAATCGTTGCTAAGTGGAGATAAAAACTATGAAGCTTATTCGAGTACATAGAAATAGCGTCGAACGACGTATACTCGTGCCGTATACACACAAGAGAAGACGCCAGACGCACAGTAATTAACTTCTATTGTACGCGTGGGTACCGACGCTCGAAGAATGTCTCGGCTCCTCGGCAAACCGAGGCAACTTAAACTAACAAGCCAATATCGCCCAAGTCGGGAATAGTTGGCACCTTCTCGCGAAGTTCCGGCACCGAGCAAACGTAGGAGAGGCCCGCCGTGACGTTGTCGGCTCGCCAGCCGAGCCACGAGAACGACTCGCTGCTCCGGTCGCCGCACAGGTACGCCCCGGTCTCGGTCGCGTTGCTCAGGTACGGATCGTTGACGCTCACGAAGGCCGTGGCCCTGTTGCCAGCCCGATCGTGCACGACCTTCCAAAAGAAGCGAGGCACCGCCATGATCCTCCGCGAGCCGTTCGTGTGCAGATAGACGGGTTGCTGCTCGCCGTTGACGTCCTCCAGACTCATCTGTCCGTGCACCCCCGTGTACACGTCGAGATCCAGGCCATTCCTCGAGGAGTACTCGCGAACCGCCATCTCGACGGACAGCCAGTTGCCGGCGTTGACCGAGGCCCACTGCGGCGCCGTGTTGAGCAGCCAGAAGGTCGCCACCTGCTGGGCCGCGTAAACAAAGTCCGCCTTGGCCATGAGATGTCCGCGATTCAGGTAGAAGTTCGTTTTCGGCTTCACGTACCGATCGGCCAGCTCCTTCGAGCCGAGCAGCTGCGCGAACGAGACGACCTCCGACTGAACTTTGTAGGCCGCGTTCACATTGAAGCCCCGGTAGTGCGCGCCGGCCTTCCAAAAGGGTCGCGCGACCTTCTCCTGGTAGCTGCGGATTTCCTTCACTATACTGCCGTGGGTGTAAAAAGTTTCGTAAGACGAGTCGTTACGGCAGATTTCCATCAGAGGCAAAAAGTAACTCTGGTTCAATGAAAAACCGATGTCGTAACGAGCTGCCCGTCCGTTCAGGCAGCCCGCATTATTTTTCTTCACGACTTCTTTTATCGGCTTCGAACAATTTACGCCATCTATCTCCTGTACTTTCGAGTCGATCAAAAACTTTCCCCCGCTGACGCATGTTGCTTTCACTAGATTTTGGCTCTTGAAATTGACGAAGCCGCTGCCTGGACACGCCAATAAAATCGACGTATTTCTCGTGACTCTCACGAATCTGTTTTCATCGGGTAAAACGAACGTTGGATTTGACGTATAAGTAAGGATCAGCGGTTTCGATTGGTTTTTTGCATAAACCGTCGAAATTTTGCAATCTATTTCTGTTGAACAAGTTTTTTTATTTTTTCATTAAAACAATTTCATTGTTTCTAATATAACTTAAATTAAATTAATCTTACCATTGTCAAATTCGGCCCTAGCGATGATTAAAACAAAAAATAAACTTAAAATCGTCTTCATCTTAGTGACTGCTCCACTGCCGGGTGAGGTTTGAAACGTATCAGACGTTAACTCAGTCTTTTATGCGCAGGAGATAGTCTAAGCGAGATAAGCTTTTCTGTATAGTGTGTAATGTGTATGTTTTTTTTTATCTAATACATCGCTGAGTTTAATCTTTTAATTCAATCGACAATAAGAATATTTACCGTCCCGAATTATTTAAATCAATTTACTTTATTCATTGTTATAACAAATTTGATTGCTTGTGATGATAAATTTAAATAACTAATATTGAAATAGAAAAAATACTTGTAAATCACAATCGATATTTTTCAATCCAACAACGATAATGCATTGTATTCCAAGTAAGGAAATGGCACGTGTAAAATGACAACTCAATTGAATATAATTAGTCACGTGTAATTTTTTAATTCTATCAATAGATTCTGATCGTAATTTCAGATTTTGATCAAATACATGTCTGATTATTTATATCTTAAGGGGGGAAAGGTACCTAAAATCTCAACAAAAAAAAATTTTGTTTTATTGACTTTTTTAATAGGATTTTTCCTCAGCTTTCCAGTGCCGTGATCGGAATTTAAAAATTTTAACTGTACCGTGATGTACAGCCTATTCAGTACCGATACTTTTACGATTATTTAAAAATATATCGTTGCCATTCTCTCATGAATCTCGAGACTTTCATGAGTCGGTAGCGCCGTCTATTGATACTCATTTTATTCTTTGGTTAGAGTACATCTAGCAGAAATTTGTTTGTTTACATGGCTATAGGTGTACAGTAACGCCACCACTCGCTGCACGTGGGTTTCGGCATATCTTATGTCTCTCTCTGTTTCGTGCGCGAGCCCTGATCAAATGTCAATAACAGTCTGCTGACTGCATCTTGATTTTCCAATGGCTAAAAATTACATTTTTTTGAAAGTGAAAAAAGTACATGTACAGTGAAGTTATATCTTTGCAACTTGACATAGTGATTTATAATAAAGCTATGAAGATGCTTCAATAGCTTGTTATAAAAATGTTACATTTTTAGCAGTTCAAATTCAAGAAATACAGCAGTACATATGTAAATTGACATATATACATCAGTGTACATGTATGTCACTGTACTTTATGTATGTGTATATAACTGTATCATGTATATTATTGTATGTTGCATGTGATAACCAAGATTAGTGATAATTGATCAATTTTGAGTGATTTTATTTCCAACTATAGATCCAATGATTGTTGTTTTATGAATGTGAGTGAATATAGGTAGAGGGCTGAGTTCAAGTTCTAATGTGAGATTGTGTATATTAGTGTGAAAAGTTGATTTGGACATAATCAACTTAGTTACCAGTTTCCACATAAAACCCATATTAGCGTATGCTAACATTTTAGTAAAACTTATAATTTGGCTTTGTGTGTCTGTCTGGGATTATTGAACATTGTCCTTGTGGGTCTAATATGTTGAAATTTCAAGTTGAATTACTGTTTTTTATTGTCCAAAAAGTTTAAAGCAGCCTCAGTGACATGAGAGTATCATTATGACATATATTGATGTATTTTGGTTTTTTTCAACTCTTGGGCAGGAACGTTTTATCTCAAAATTGCTTTGTTGCCGTAACTTTCCATGTAAACCGTTTGAGCAAATGAGCTGAAATTTTCAGGGATTGTTCTACATGAGAATGGCTACAAACGCAAGCACTTTCAAAGGTATTAAGACAAATGAGCACTTTTTTCAGGCTATGATGTAGCATAATCTGTCATTTTATCATATATATTAATGAATAAATGTATATATGTGGCTGGCAAATTGTGTATAACTAATTAAAAAATCTGAAAGTGCTTGCGTTTGTAACCACACATCTAATGATCAAAATGAGACCCCAAGGACCATGATTGAACCATCGGTTCTAGCTGGATCCTACGGCACAGGGGTACCTGTCAGGACTGTGGGCTTGCTTCATCGAGGAGGGTTCTATGGTGACTGGGACCTCAATTTTTATATTCCAGAGTGAAAAACTTTGAAAAAAGAGTGAAGAAAACAGAGTTTTCTCTGTATATTCCAAAAAAAAATTTTTTCTTCATTTTTAATAAATTTTTTATAAATGTAGGTTTAAGGTACCTTTCCCCCCTTAAGGAAGCTTACATAATTGTGAAATTATCATGTTGGCAAAAATTCAGTAAAAATGTAAAGATATTTTGTTTAAAAAACCTTTGACGTACCTGCTTCGAAATTGTCGGTTTCGAGTGACTCTACTTATTTATCTTTAACACTCGATGAAATACTTGCGGCAGTAAATTCTTCCCGTTGTCTGGTTTGAGTTTTACTGTTGTTGGCAGAACGCAAACTAAACTACACGAGTGCATACCCAATATGTGGTAAAAGAGAGACAGGCAGAGAGAGAGAGAGAGAGAGAGAGAAATAGTTACCAACGTCGAGAGGCAGGAGGCTTTAGAGTTGGAATATTGTTTAGGAAGATGAGTGGGGGATGGATCTAACTTTGCTTGGCAGAAAGAAAACTCGCCGCCAAAAAGCAGGCATATAATCCGCTGCAGAACATTATTTTTGTTATTATGCCAGTTTATTATTGTGTTGATGTGAATTTATCATAATATTTCCCACTAAAGCAGTTGCTCGTATAAAATGAAGTAGAAATATATGAAATTTATCGATTTTTCATTTGAGAAAATATCTCTTTTCTTGCGTAACATTTATTGACCTAAAAAAATTTTAAAACTGTGGTGGATGTACGTGCAATCATTTGAAAGTCAAAAACAATCAATTCTGGTTTCAAGTTAATGAATATTTTTTTCTCAAGATCCACTACAAACGATACTTTTCTTGTTATTTCAGAGGCCCGTTCAGCGTAGTGCGAAAATGTATTCATCGACAAACGGAACAGACATTCGCTGTGAAGATTGTTGACGTAGCCAAATTTACTTCCAGTCCAGGACTCAGCACCGCAGGTGATTAATAGTTCGAAAACATTAATTTTCTCCTTTACGCAAAGTGATGAAATATTTACCGTTAACAATTACATTTCAGACTTGAAACGCGAGGCAACAATATGTCACATGTTAAAGCACCCTCACATAGTCGAGTTGCTGGAAACTTACAGTTCCGAGGGCATGCTGTATATGGTTTTCGAGTAGTGAGTATTTAAAAAAATTCTTTGCTCTTTGCAAAAGTCTCGAATTTAATCTGTATCGTTTGATGTTATTACAGTATGGACGGTTCTGACCTGTGCTTCGAAGTTGTAAGACGTGCCACGGCTGGATTCGTATATAGCGAAGCAGTTGCTAGGTAAGTTTTAATTAACTTTACTTGTTCAAGTCTATAATTCAGACAATTCTCGGAAAAAACGCCATGCCACAACACAAATTAAAATTAAAACATTAAGCACGCCGGTGCAGTCATTAATCTTGAAAATGTCTTTTGCCTTAGAATGTTCAGCTCTACACTAATTAATGTCAAATTTATAATCCCTGAAATTACATTAGTTTTCTTGACATAAAGAATAAAATTGAAACATTTATTGACATTATTATATCATTAATTTTTAGACTCGCATATCAAAACCTGTATGCTAGTGTTACATTATTCTGTAGGGTTAGACGTCGGGAAAAAATTTTAAAATAACAATTATACACAGATGATAACTATTTATTTATGTTTTTAGCCATTACATGCGCCAAATTTTAGAAGCATTACGTTACTGTCACGAAAACGACATAATTCATCGAGATTTGAAACCTCAATGTGCTCTTCTTGCTGGCAAAGAAAATTCGGCTCCTGTCAAATTACGCGGCTTTGGAGTGGCTATTCAACTTCCCACACAACCTAATGGAGTTGGTATGTGAAAGCTTCAAATACTATCATTGTCTTTAACATTATTTCGTTTGCTACAATGATAATTTTTTATTTATTAAGAGAACAGAAGAACTAATTCTCGTTTCTTGCAAAATAGTATGACTTTGATAACTATAGCTAACAAAACGTTTTATAATGTTAGACTATTTTCAATGTTTTACTTTTAATGAGAGAATTCAAGGTCGTTCTATTTTGAAAAGTTGCTACAAGTTGAGTAAAATACAAAAGCAATAAGCTCGTACACTTTTGCTAATATTTGTGCAAGTTGTATGTTTTTACGTAAAGGAGCACCATGTGTCGATTAAAACACAAATTTACAGACAGTAAATTATAATGATTATTATGTACTTCACTATATTGCTTTGGGTTTCTTAGAAACTTTTCGTGCTACTCTTTTCTCTGAAAAATTCGCGTTACCATGTGCTAGAGATAACATTACTGTTTTTGCATAAAATGTCAATGAAACAAGACAAAAAACATACTTTCAATCATACCATGATGTTTTTTAATCATACTAAAATTAGGTTTCAGTAGAAAATGATTCTGGATTGAAGCTTCAACATATTTATGTTTTTAGTAACACCTCATAGTTTTATTTTAGTACGTTGTTATCATACGTTGTAGAATTTTTAATCGGATAAGAGAATATATAACGTGAAAAAATAAGTCAGAAAATCGATGACGTTTATCAATTTTATGTCAATGAATTCAGAAGCGTACACAACTGAGTATCGGCCATACCTGAGCCCAAAAGGGCAGGTCTACTTGAAGGTTGACAACGATGGTAAGCCGGATTCAAAAAATCCAATTCATCATATACTGCAGGATCCATATATTATATATAAATTTATCGCCACACTTCAATTCATTTCATGCTTATATTATATTCACAAGTGTGTCACGTGTTGTTTTTGCTAACAAATATTTTTAACTCCACACCGACGTTGCTTATGTCAGTAAAATGAATTGAAAATATTATGCGTGTTGGCGCTTCACTGCTTGCTCGTGTGAATTATCCTTCAATTGACACACTCCAACACTTTTGCCCTTCCAAATTTTCGTCTCTTTTCGAATCTAATATAATTCTATACTTCTTGAATTATTCAAATTGTTTGGTGCTTATGAATATATTAATTTAAATAATTGATACAATTATCGACTAAAAATGATGCGAAATCATTTTAATTACGGCAAGTCTATAGGTTTATGGAGAAACGTTGAGAATTCACTCAAATGAATTCATTCAGTATAATTGATAGTGCTCTATGCTAGTGTTTATTTTTTGATAAGATGAAGGCTTTGTATACGATTGGTATTGAATATTCAGAGTACTTGATCTTTAAAAAATTAAATTAGCATTGCCATCTAAAAATAGCAAATTTAATAACATCTGTACTAATATTTCATATGAATTAAAAATATTGATGTTTTTTACTTTTCGTAAAGCTCTGAACGAAAAATGCATCACTTTTTTACGTTTTTGTCTTTACAGTATAGGTAGTTAGTCAATTTCGAGTAATTTTCGTATTAATAGTTGTTTATACACGTATGATTGACACTATTCAAATCATATTTTCCCAAAGTAACTAACGAAATTATAAAAGTTAAATTTCTATGTTTTCACTCACCCTTACCTGAACACCTGTCATCTACTCATTTAGAGTATCCTTCGCTTTCATTAATGTAATTAATTCGTAACAGCATAAAATTTACATGTTGCCACATAGAATTTTTAACATTTTTAAAATGCTCATATTTCCATGTGCTTTGCATTGATGTTGTTTACTTTTTTCGATGTTTTTATTATAAACAATTTTTTCATTACCATTTAGTATTTTCATTTTTAAATGTTACAAAATATTAATGTAGCATGATATATATCTAATAAAAAAACTTATTTATTCCTACACGAGTTATAAACAGATTTTGTCGATAAATAAAATATTAATTAAAATTTCTAGTTGAACAAGTAACAGTTTTTACTGCTACTATCCAAATAAACATAAAAAATTAAATACTGCATTGATTTTTAAATAAATACGACGCATAATAATACTTGCTTCCTAAATCAAAAAATTATTAAAGCTTACTACGCTAACTCAGCCTCAATTTCTAGTTTTAATTTAAACAGGACAAAAATCCTGAAGAGATCAAATGTATCCGTAAATTCAAATGCTTCAAGAAATGCTAAAGCCTGAACAATAATTTCAATGGTCATGATTATAAAAATTACAATCGTTTCACAGGCCGCATTGGGTGTCCACACTTTATGGCACCAGAAGTCATACTCAGAAGGCAGTACGGTAAACCGGGCGATGTCTGGTCCGCCGGTGTACTCCTTCACGTTTTGCTGACCGGCACGCTACCCTTCGTCGGTTCGGGCGAGCGATTGCGAGAGTCCATTTGTCGAGGTCGTGTACAGGTAAGGCCTTTCTCAACCCGAGCTAAGGAAAAACGAAATTTTCACCAAAGGGTTGTGATTTCCGATTGAGAGTCATTCAAATGAACATAATTTGCAGATGGAGTCGCCTCAGTGGGAGCCAATAAGCGAGTCAGCAAAGGATTTAATTCAGCGTATGCTCACCACGGACGTGAATCACAGGATCACAATTCAAGAAGTGCTGAACCATAAATGGCTACGGGTAAGTATTTCCTCGTTTTCGCCTCTCTCTGTCTCTCTCTATTTCTCTTGCATTGTCATTCTTGAAATTCTCTCGACCGTATAAACAGCGAGCCGCGTCGGGAGTCTACTAAATTACTATTTGCAGAAAGCCGGAGAGGCTCGACAATGGCTGCGGCGCATGGTATCACGTGCCCCGTGTACTTGGAGATAAAAGAGCATCCATAAATGTGTGTTAAGAGCCAAGCCACGAACCATCATCTTTCTTCATCACCGCGAACTCGTTGATTCCCTCTCAATCTCTCGCTCCGAGTATACGTGTATAGACGCGCGAGTACAGTGTCTGCGCTACTCACTCTACCTAGTTAGCAGACTCTACATGCTCAAAGTCTGTTATCGCTTTGAGCATCGACCAAGTGCACCAGTCGATCTGATCTCTCTTGTATACACCCACGCAAGTTGCCGATTGATCAACCCCTTCCGTGTATTTTACAACTTGTATGCTGACTTTCTATTTCTTCTTTTCTCTATCTCCGTCTCCCTTCCATCTATCCTATCTATGTGTAAATGCGCTCGATAAAATATGACGAGAAAAACAGCGAGTCATGGGAGGAGAGGCTCGCACGCGTCTTCCGACGTTTCACACGTGGAACTGGGTTATCGATCTTCTATATACAATGGAGTAAAGCTCCAACGGTTAATGGGATTAATCAGTATTTATACTTTTTACTTTGTATTTTTTGCCGCTTCCTTGCAACAAGTACATCGTTGCTCGACTCGCATCGAGATCTTCTCGCAGCTCTTTTATTTAAAAATAATATTTTTTATCGCGTGGGTTACGAATTTTGATACGTACTTGAGTTTTACACAATATACCTATCCTGCATTGTCAGTTTCTGCAGTCATTGTGGTTCATTATGCAGAAACTCCAAAAGCGAAATACACCTCGGAGTCAAAGACCATGACGGAGCATTGTGTACCTTTGAAAAATACAATTTGCATTCATCAAACGTGCTGCTGTATATTCTCTGCATTTTTATTATTTTTTCTTTCTTTTTCATCGATGAATATTGAATCGGATGTTTAAATGCACGATAGCACGTATAAGTTTGCATAGCAAGTAACGATACGACCTGGTTTTTTTTATTTTGTTTCGCAGGACCGAGACAAGGGCGTAGCTCGTCTACACTTGGGCGATACGATCGAGGAATTGAAAAAGTTCAACGCAAGGCGAAAATTAAAGGCTGCCGTGAAGGCGGCCGTCGCATCGTCCAAATGGCAAATTCCATATTTAAGGCCGAGCAGTGGTGGCGATAGCTACTACGATGCTGCCGAGGAAGAGGTCATGACCACGGGTACGTGTATAAATAGGTCAAAGCAATTTGTAGGTCAGTTCCAGAGCGCTCTTGCTCTTTATGTATGTATGTGTGTGCGCGTGTATACATAGAGGTACATGTGCACAGCGTACCGATGCATACATCACCTTTGTGGATGCTGTGCTATTCTTCCCCTCTCTCTACTCGCTAATATTTCAAGCGGAAAAGCCACCTCATTTCTTATTAATTTACAGCGGTACGCCGATTCGATGTTTGTCGTCGGCGTCGACGTCGATACATGTACTCCCATGCATAATTATAACTCTTGGCTTTTTTCAGGTGCCATCAACGAAATTTTAGACTCGTTAGACGATATAGAAGTACTTCAGGAGAGTGGCAGACTAAGTAGGTTGGAAATTCTTGCAGCCGTCGACGATAGGAGATTGCGGAAACTATTAGAGGTAGGTAGTCGGTGATTTTTATTTTTTGCCTCTCAACTGTCAACTGCGCTAGAGCGTAGAATATCTTAATTTTTTCTGGCACACGTCAGAGAGTAGTTTGAGTGACTTTTGCGCATCAGACTTCGATTGAATTATCAGCAAAGAGTTCGAGCTGCGAGAGCGTTTCGTGTTTATGTTAATTAGAGCATGAAACTGTCGCTCGAGATCTTTAATGGAGAAATCTGATAGAGCTGGAACTTTGTTACACGAAGCTAAAAGTCGTGAATAAAGTACAAGATTAAATTGACATTACAAACGCATCAAGCCCGAATGCAGATTAAAATCCAATTGATAAGAGTAATCTTGCATCGGTAAAGTAGATAAACCGTCGTGGACCATCGTGGATAGCTGCGACTTTTTTACTCCCCGACGGTCGGAGAGGGGTTGGCCGTGAGCTCCAGAGATTCTGCGCCAGTGTTATCATCTGCCGTTGCTGCTTCGTCGAGGCAATTTTCCAAGCCGTAGTACCAGTTGAAATCAAGTCGTGGCGCTGCTCGTACCGGCGCGTCCGCATCCCCGAGCGACGCAGCATCCGCGCAAGCTCCAGGCTCTCGGCTATTAAAATCGAAATTCAGCCCCCCGAAGTCGCATGCGTCGTGCAAGCTCGCAAGCACAAGATGTCCGCTTGAACGTGCGCGTGAGTGCGAGAGAAAGAGAAAGATATATATTCGTTCGTGGTTCGATAGAAGTGAAATAAGAGGGCGTGCGGCAGCAGCAGCAGCAGCTGAAAGCAAAACAAACAACAGGATCTCGGCTGGGAATTGAGCCCGTGAGATAAAAAGCAAATAAACGCGAAGGGAGGAAATTTCGTGGCTTCGAGGGCCAAGATAATCTGGAATTCTTTGAGGATGACGTTCTCGATCACCGAAGCGCAAGCTCGGGCCGCTTATCCGCGATCCAGAGCGCCCATGCTCTTCTTCGTATTGGTGCTGTTTTTCTTCTTTATCTCGTTCGCCCTGTTGATCATATTTTTTACGACTTCCTGAGCACGCGCCCCGCCGGTGCCGATGGTCGTCATGGACCTCGGCAACGATTACGCAATTTAGATTCTCTCTTTTGCCTCGTGCGTCTTTGCGCTTTTTATCAAGGGTGGAGGGGGACAATAGACGAGCTTCGACTATGCATATTTTTCAACTGATGCTCATCGGAGATACTGAGATTCTTGGAGACTTGCTTGAGATAGCCGGCATGATGGTAAGCCCCTCTTAACCTCGGTTGGTCATGCAGCTTATATGGCAAACTCAAATTGTTACTCTTCATGTTTAGTATCTCATACTGATCCTGGAATTAATTAAATTTTATCGTCTTCAACGTTATGATTTTTTATATTGTTTGTTACGAAATCATAAGGTTCAAAAAAAAAAAAAAATAAATAAATAAATAAATAAATGCATAGAAATAAAACTAGAAACGTCAGAAAAAAACTGCATCATATAATTCCATGAAACTCAATTATTTTTATTTTGCAGGTGTACGATAAAGTAGCGACACGCGTACCATCACCATGCCGGGCGCCTCCGACCGATGCTGTCCAAAGGGCGCAGGAAGTCGAGGAGCTGTTAAAAACTGCCGAAAGATCCTCTTCAAGAAATATTGACCGCGGCGATCTTCGAGAACTTAAAGAACTACTTAGTCAGCCGCATTTTAAGGTAAGTGCTACTCTGCCTCTCTCTTTTTCATTCTCTTCACTCCTTATTTCGGTGCTTTCAAATCAAGAATAAACCTTTTGAGTGCACCCAGCCGAACCACTCGACGTCTAATTTATTACGACGCATAAACCCGAGGCCAACACGTGTTCAGAATTTTTAATTCTAACTAAATGATAGTGAATATTTTACCTGGTGTAACTCGGTCGTTAGACAGCGCAATAAGCTGACGTATTTTTTTTTTTTTTTTTGCAACTCCCCTCGTTTTCATTAGAGCGACGCTTCGTCAAAAAGTTTCACCAAGACATCTCTATGGCAAAGCGGCCTTTTTTTAACTAACATATTCCTCTGCAAGCTCACAAAGAGAAACTTTAATGCTAAAATGAAGTTTAATGATAAAATCAACATCGAATTCGCCATATTTTACAGACCATGAATATAAAATGCTGCACGCAGCAGTCCCAACAGTTTTGGAAAACTGGAAAAGTTTTTTTTTAACCTGCTGAAAACTTTTGATCACTGTAGTAAAAAGTCAGGGCAAAAATTCGATTTAGCAGGCGCTGAAAAAAGACTTGCACCAAACTTTCGCTCTTTTTGCGAAAAAGAATTTAAGTAATCTACCCTATATTGTGTAAAATATGGCTAAAAAGTGCTTTGGCGCGTCGGGTGATTGCTTGGTGTATTTATTTGTCAAATCCACTAGAAAATTTAGCTTATGCTCAAAGAGCATAGGGAAAACATCAAAAAAAGAGGTTCACATATATGATTCAGGACGAGACGCACGTGTAGCTCGCAGACATATTTGCTTTAAAGTACTTGTGGGAGGGAAGGGACGCGTTCAAAAATTTTCATTTCTGAATGTATTAATCCGAATAAAACGAAGGGTTTCCCAAACGCAGAAGATATTTTTCCTAGGTATAACCCATCATCGTACTCGAAGAGAAGAGATGAAGCACGAAGGCTGGAGAGAGAGAGAAAGATCTATTGTTCTTGGGCATTCTCTTTATTATTCGTATTCCCCGATGATATTCTTTTCCCTATTCGTCGGCCGCGCATATCCTGCAAAAGTCGCGCTCCCTTTTTGTCCCCCTCCCAGCTGCCATCCTATCTTTGTCCGCGTCTTTTGCAACATTCACCCACTTTTTAAGGCTCGTTTTGTCTTATACATGCACAGACGACGACGAGCAAGGCGTGTCTGTATTCGCAGCCTTACAAGCTCGCGGACATGTATGTGTGGGTGCTCTTCTAAATCCCTGCGGAGGTTTTACTAACTAGAGTTCTAGAATACGTAACGATAACGAGTGCGACGACATGGGAGGCGGGCGATGTCGTCGGCGGGACTCGACATACTCCACACACACAGCCACACACATACACATACATAGGCACAGGTACAAGCTGGTCTTGTGCTAGCGGACATTAATTTATCATAGCTTACACGGTGCTCCACGGCAAAAGGTGTAAGAGAGTCTGCGTGCGTACGTGTATAGAGCCGCTAGCGCACAACTAGTAGTAGTAATAATAACGCCGCTATCTTGGAAATCTCGTCTAGCTCTGGCGTGTGCACTGCGTATGTACGTGTTGGTGAAAAGAGAGCTTTCACATAGACTCGTCGTGTGTGTATGCAGTACTCGCTTTATGCTGGCGAGACTTGAAAAATTCACACGGCGAAAAAGCTCGCCTCGCTACTGCTGCTGCTGCTGCTGCTTCGTCGCTGTGTTGCACAAAAAAAAGGAGGAATTCAATTCTCGCGCGATGCATTGAAAGAGCAGCAGTAGTGAAGCAGCAAAAGAAATGAAAGAAGCAGAAGTAGAAGAAGAAGAAGAATAAGAAGAAGAAGACGCGAGTAAGAAGTCGTCACGTCATTTTTCACATTGCAGTCGGCGGGAGGGAGCTGCATTGCGCGCCCTGTAAAGGATTACGTGTCTTCGTGTGGGCACGGATAAGCATTTGATTAACGAGGCGCATTAGTAGTCGCTGCAATCTGCTGCGCAGCTCCAGCGCTAGAGCAGCTCTAGCCGCGTGCCGGTAGCAACGAAACGGGCGTTCAACTATGCATCGCGTCATTAATTATGCTCGCAGTGCTAGTCCTCCACAAGCCAGCCAGCGATGCTACAGCTACTGCTGCTGCTATACCCAGCCAGGCAAGCAACTTGAATCTCTCTCTCTCTCTCTCTACACGCACTCGCTCGTCTGTGTATGGATGTATATAGATGTACCCTTCAGTCGTGCACGGCTCTGTAGCGTAGTACGTGCTAGTAACGTACGTATAAACCAGTCGCTCGCGCCAGAGCTTCCGATTGCTCTCGTTTTATCGCGGCTGTGGCGGTGGCGGCGGCGGCGGCAGCAGCAGCTCTTGCGCATTATACATGCAATCGTGTTTCGATTGATCGTCTGGGAGCATAAACACCTACCGATTCATTAACTATGAATCGACGTGCAAAAATTCCCCTCCCGACTAATCCGACTTGCTCGCGCGTGGCTCTTTAAACTTCATCTCGCCGTCGCAGCAGCAGACATTCAATCTGCATAAGGCGCGAAAGCTTTAAACCGTAATCGCACAATTTGTTTTTTTTATCTCGCAAGACTTACTTACTCGACTTTCAAACAAGATGTTGCTCGCGGAAAAGTCAGAAACGCAGAGATTCGTCCGGCGACATGTCCGCGCGCGCACGGCCCAAGAAGACTTCGCGGTGGGAAAATGTCGTCAAAAGACGGAAACTGGACCAGGAGAGTAGTAAGTCGCGTCGACGACTGACTTGGCGAGGTCCGGCTAAACTTACTTACATATCTCGGCACTTTCTGTATACGTTGGCGTGTGTTTGTGCGCCTGTGTGCTCGAGATTCGCCCGGCACAACTGAGCGGCCCGCTTATATAGGAAAAGTTTGCCTCGTTGCCGAGCGACAAACTTTTCTACTATCTCTCTCTCTCTCTCTCTCTCTCTTTTACTCTTTCACTCGTTCCTCCTAATTCACGCATTAAAATCGATAAGGTACTCGTCGGTCTACTGTGAGAGCTGTTATACGTGTGTATGGTTGGCTCAGTGGAACGAACGGCGTCGGCGTCGAGTCATCGTCGTCGTCGTCGTCGTTGTCGTTGGTGGTGGTAGTGGTGGTGGTGGTGTGAGAAAAATTTGCGGTGAGGTAAACGCTACCGCCGCTGCTGCCGAGGCTGGAGAACGACCGAGTTGGAAAAGAGAGAAAGAGAGACGAATGTAACGCTCGCTCTCTTTCTCTCCTCTCTTTCCTACAGCTCGGCGACGTTTATTTTTCCTCTTGCTGCAGCGATTTCGCTCTAGCTAATGGCTCTCTCTCTCTCTCTCTCTTTCGCGGATTCTTTTTTTTTCCGCGTTTGCCTACGAGCTCTGAGACACGACGAGCTAGCGAATGTGTGTGTGGGGGGTTGTTGTGTGTGGGCGCGCGCTAGGCTCGTTGCCGTTAGTTAGACTAGCCAAGCAGAGCAGAAGAAGTGGCAAGAAAAGCGAAATAGAAATAGAGAATGTCTCGCGCGTCGAAAAAGAGTGTGGGCGCATAGCAGCAGCAGCAGCAGCAGCAGCAGCAGCGGTGGCTGGAAAAATGGGGAAAGCAAAGGGGGGAGGAGGAGAGAAAGAAAGAGAGAGAGAGAGAGAGAAGAGAGCGAGATGGAGAGTGGGTCTCGCGGCACTCCGGCATGAGCGCATATATAGAGTGCAGTAGTACAGCGGAGAACGACGTACAGTGGGGTAGGGTATACAGAGGAGCATTGCCGCTACTCTCCGCCGTCGCTGCTGCTACCGCCGCTATATACTGCGCTGCCTAGCGGTACGCTATACGGTGGTGCAGCGAGCCAGACAGAGACAGCAGGAGGAATGAGCTCGCCGGGGGGTTGCGGCGCGGCCAGGGCGCCGTCGAGCTAGTTCGACGCGAAACGCAGCTCGCTAACGACGCGCTAGTTCACGTTTGTCGCAGCCGAAGCCGCTGCGCTTCTACGCTAGTTTTATAATAAATTTTCGCGCGCGACGCGCATTTTTTATCGGTGTGCGTTTCCTTACTCGCCGATTATACAGCGGATCGGGCGCGATACGAGAAACACGGAGCGGCGCGTTATCGTCTATACCGAGGGACGAGCTTGCGCTGCTCTCTGCGTGTGCAGTGTTGCAAAGCGCGCAAGACACATAGATTTTCTCACCACGTGACAGTAATAGTGCTCGCGGCTCCTTCTACTGCTCCCCCCGGTGGTGTTCGAACTGCTGCGCGCAACACACGGGACGACGGAAGTCGTTGCGAGCAGAAAAAACGCCAAGGAGATTTCCTAGAGATAAATAGTCGTGTGCCAGTTTATACGAGTGCGAAGTCACGAGCTTCGAGGACAGCCACTGTATACACATCTCGTAAGATTAAGTTACTGCGTTGGTCGGAGAAAGCTTAGCTATGGGTGATGAAAGTTGGTCGCATCTCAGCACAGTGCGTTTGTGTGTCGTTCGTGTGTGATGCCAGTTTATGCGTGAGAAATTGCGGGTGAGTGTGTTGCGTGCTCGGTGCGATCGTTTTCGCGCGAGTCGCGTCGCGAGTGCAGCCAACTGCTCTCTCAATTCTATTCTCTCTCTCTCTCTCTCTTCTCGTCCAGCTCGAGTTAATTTATCGCCTCGGGCGAGAGAGTACGTGCGGTCGCTTTGAAAGTCCGTTTTAATCAGCGAAGCCTCGGCATAAATATTCAAGATTTCGTGGTGGCCGAGAAGGGGGGTATACGCTGCAGAGCGGCCGCCGTGCATATGCTGCTCGCACACACAGGTCCACTGCACGGCTGGATCGTGCTCGGCGAGAGGGCAGCAGCAGGGATGGAGGGGCCGAGCTGCTGCTGCTACTGGCCGAGAGAGAGAAGATGCACGGCGGCCACTAGATAGCGGCGAATCGATTACCCCGGCGTTCACCTAGAATCAGAAACGTGCGCGTGGCTGCTGCTGCTTCGTATACACCGGCGGCTGGCTGTGTATATAATGCCCGCGCGGTATACACAGCGTTCG